TCAGGAAGATAGTGATGAAGAGGATAAAACACTCACTAGTATAGATTATTGTTACAGAGCAGTTTGCGGTGTACCTCTGACCTTTAAAGGGGCCATGACATCGACCGAGTCAGAAAACTGGGGAAAAGCGATGGATGAGGAAATTAAGTCTCTCGAAGACAATCAGACTTTTACCCTGACAAAATTGCCAGAGGGCAGGAAAACAGTGGGAGGTAAATGGGTCTATTCAGTTAAGGGAGACGTTGACGAACACGACAAGTACAAAGCTAGGTTCGTAGCAAAAGGATACAGTCAGAGGGTGGGGATAGATTACGGGGAGACGTTCTCACCTACAGCCAACCTGACAAGTGTACGTGTATTAATGCAGAAGGCAGCCCAAGAGGATTTGATTTGACACCAGATGGATGTAAAGAAGGCCTACCTGCATGTCGATCACGACATTTACATGGAACAACCTGAGGGTTATGTAAAGGAGGGAGGAAAGCTAGAGTGTAAGCTAGAGAAGTCAATTTACGGCACTTTACTACACTGAAGATGCACCTAAAATGGTGGATGTGAAGAAATACAGAGAGGCTGTTGGCAGCCTAATTTATTTGACTACCTGTACACGTCCAGACCTATGTTTCGTGGTAAGCAAGTTATCACAATATTTTTGCTGAACCGACAGATGAACATTGGGTTACAGTAAAACACGTTTTGCGTTATCTCAGGGGCACTGCAGACAAGCCGCTTTGTTTCAGAAAGAGCAGCGAGAAACTAGGCTTACGGGCTTATAGTGACGCTGATTGGGCTGCAGACAAGACCGATAGACGCAGTATGACAGGATATTGTGTGAGCATGAGTAAGGACAGCTCACTAGTCTCTTGGAAAACCAAGAAGCCCACATTTGAATCATGTTTTTGCTTTGTTAATTAAATATGAACAGGTATACAGTAAGCACATAATTCATAAGTGGGAGTGTTGAGGTTTAACATACAGACATGTATAGTGTATGACTCCATGTAATACTGTGTACCATATTGTTTATGTAAGTAGCTGCGACTACTAACTGTGTTCATTGGTTAGGGCTGTACCACATGATTGTGATGTCACTACCTGGTAGGGATGCTCCGATCGATCGGTCACCGATCGAGATCGGCCGATACTCACTCTCTACCGATCGATCGGTGCTCTCTAAACATGCCGATCGCGAGAGCCGATCGCATGACGTAAAATACATGACACTTTTCTCTGTGTGCGGCAAAACAAGCTCGCCAAAATGGCTTCACCGGTTTGGCATTATTTTAAGGTGTCCGAAAAAGACGGTAAAATAGCGGTATGCAACGTGTGTGTGAAGCAGAAATCCTGCAGCTCCGCCCGCCGGACAGGTAAGCGGGACGAAACACACACACAGGGAGAACCAGACCGCAGTTCATTTCCTCATATTCCAAACGAGAAATTACGGTAGCAAATCACCCGGTTCGACCAGAACTATTAACGGGATACAAACCGGAGGAACCAGGCATGGAGGGAGGTGGCAGAGACAGTGGGTGAAACTGGTAGGTTTTCGCCTGTTTGGGGAGTTTATATATATATATATATTGCTCGCATAAAATCCCCGGGGTTATTTGCTTTGTATGTCGGGGGCGGGAGATTCATGTGATTGGTTGTTGGTCGCGTTGCTCGCAAAAAATCCCCAAGCTTTCAGACACGCCCAGCTCCAAGATTTTCAAGATTTTTGAAAAGCTGCTGTGTGGACGTACCGTAAGAGTTAGACCTAACACATTTAGCTATTTTATCTAGCCTACCTCTGGAACAAGCTAAACTAGTTATTATAAATATATTTATTCTTCATTGTCGGGTCACTCATTACTGGATCAGTGAGCTGCATGAGATACTGACAGGCTGTCAGGAGAGGGAGAGAGGGGGGAGAGGGAGAGGGAGAGAGGAAAAGAGAGCACTTCCGCTCATTTCTCCCGTGTTATTATCCAAAGTGAATGTAAACTTGAATAATGTACATCATTTGAATGTAATAATTAAGTTGATTGTTGTTTGTGGAAGCTCCAGTGAATGAGCCCCATTAACTGAGTTTTAAACATCATTTTAAATGGAAGATTTAAAGTGATGTTTAAATCTTCCATTTAGGCCCCGCCCACTCGATCGGATCGGCGATCGGTATCGGCCGATACTGATTCAGGCTATATGCCCTGGCTGCGGAACGCGGAATAGGGCGGGGTCGGATGTGGGCGGGGTCGGACGTCCGACCCCTCCTCCGCCCCATTCCTATAGGCCCTGGCTGCGGAACGCGGAATGGGGGGGGGGGTCGGATGTGGGCGGGGCTGGACGTCCGATGGGCGGGGTGTATGGATATCCTAATGACACAAACAGTATCATCTGCTGGACAACTACAATAAATACAAATACAAATCTGCACTCCACTAAATATAATTAAAAAACTTCATACTAATTAAATGCATGAATGTATTTAAATATGTGGTATAAAAAGTCATATTTTCCATTAGTGTATTTAAGTTCATTATTTAATATTTGTTTTTAATTGATATATTAGTGTATTTAAGTATATTATTTAATATTTGTTTTAATTGATTATTCATTTAGTCAGTTCTGTGCATACTCATATCTAGTCCATATATTTCAAATGATACATTGCACTGCATTTCATAGAATGATAGAAAAAGCATTTATTATTTACAACATTTATCATATAACAGAACAATCATTAAGATAACAGAACCGAAAAAGCAAATACAGTAAATATAAAAACCAAACCAAGTATACAAAAAAAAATCTATACAACAGTGAAAGGCTTTGCTGATGCAAACATTCAACCGCGCTCTTCAAAACAGGCATGAACCTTAAGGTTTTCTTTGTCAATGCACTGCTCAAAAGACATTAAATAGTCCGACTCAAATTTGAACCTGAACATAAATGGGTCCATCCTGTCTTCCCAGCTGTCTTCGTCCCGCAGGTTGCTGGCTTCACCAAGGTTATGGAGAGCTGCTTCTCTGTCCAGTGGGGCCATGGAAAGAATTTGTGGCAGGATGACTTTATCTCCCATATTCTTTGCAGAGCACCACTGAGATGCCGCCATAGCACTACTTATAAAGGGGTGCTTCTCCTACGCAGTGGTTCTCAAACTTTTTCTGTCATTCCCCACTTTGAACAGGTGGGCCTTTTCAAGCCCCACCTGTTCCTCTTAAGCTTAATTTTTCAAGCTTAAAATGGTCAAATGTATCGTTCTATAACAGTCTCCAAACTTGTTTAGGATGAGAGCTACTTTCAAAAACTAAAACGAAAAAAAGAGCTACTTTTACTCCTCTTTTTTGTTGCACATTTTAACATTATTATATGCTACCTTTAACCTTTGTGTGCTGCAACTGACAGTGGCTGACAGTTAACAATAGTTTGCAGCTCTTTTTGGTAGCAATACATGTATGTATGTATGTAGTGCTTATATGCTTATAGATGCAGTATATTTACAGTGCATATTTAAGGCTATTTCTGCTGTACACCAGTATAAAGGTAATACCTCAGTTTTCTACTTGTTGACTTTTACCCTTTACTAGTATTTTAAATATGTATATTTCTACCTTGCTTGTGCATCACTTTCCTTTGGGATAAATAAAGTACCTATATATACATATGTATGTTGTCTGTTCACATGCATTTTGTTTGTTGTTCAAGTTATGCCCTAACATTGGCTTTTACCTTTATGTTTCACCGTTGCATGATTTTGTATGTGGTTAATCACCAAATGCCTTTCTGCAGTCTTATAAGAGCAGAATGGGCACTGATAAAAAGGTGAACCGGCGGACTGTAGGGGCACAGGTTCTTCTCCCTCAGTAAGAATGGTATGGTGTCTGAGGAAGAACACACAATGGAATACATTCAAATCAGAGTCTACATGTATCAAATGTTGTTATTTCTTTAAGCAGATCGATTCAGTTGGTTTGTAAGAATTTAAAAACACATCAAGATGAACAATGTAGATATTCTACATCTATGGATTCTTACGAACATTTCAAGACCAAGCATGCTGCGCTAACTTATTGGTACGGCCATACAGACAACTTACAAGGTAGGAACTTGGCAGCGAATGTCTACTGGGTTGGATAATACATCATTTATTACCTTCGGTCGTTCCCTTCCATGATAATGATAATGATGATGATGATTCTTCTTCTTCTTCTTGGCGGTAGGGAAACAGCTGATGTGTAATGTGGACTCACAAGGCGGGGTCGCGGAATGGGGCGGAGGAGGGGTCGGACCCCGCCTTTTATCCGACCCCGCCCCATTCCGCGTTCCGCAGCGAGGACCTTCTCGATTCAGGCGATCGGCCCCGAAATTGGCGATCGGAGCATCCCTACTACCTGGGGTATAAGAGCGTTGGAGTCACACCCCTTCTCTCTCTGTCCTCCAGTCTCTTGACCTGTGTGCATCTAATAAATAACGCCGTGATGAATGGCTAAACTTGAACTGCTGAGATTATTCACCTTTCTGCTGCAGAGAGACACAACGTATAAGTCTAAATCTGCTAACACCCTTTATTGGATTTGTTTGCCTGACTGCTGGATTTCCTGGTTTTGCCTGTCCCTGACCTGAAAAAAACAAACCTTATGAAAACTGGTTGTATCTGTGTCATGCTACTTGGTTCAAATCTGTACCTGTGAGCGTGACAAAGAGTTAAAAAAATATGATGCAGACTAAAGAGTCATGTTTTAATCATGTTTAATGTAGATATACAACATATTGATTTTGTTAATCGTATATCAAAAATGATTATTACTATGTCATGACAACTAAACACATATTTTGACATCTCAAGTTAAATAAAACAATCTTTAATCACAATAAAAGGCTTTGAAAGCATGAACAAAATAATTACATAAACTCTTAATATTGTTATTTCAGTATATTCTTATTAAAACTGCTGTAAAAAAAGTGTTCTAAGGATAACACATTTTTTATTCCAAATGAATAATATTTTCCATTCCATTCATTTTAAAGATCATCATATCATTCTGAACCAAACTTACTCGTCAGAGTAAAATACTTTAAATTGAAATTGTGTGAGATCTCTTTCTCCTCCATGCAAGTTTTATTTGGCTGGACCAAGAGCATGTTTAACTTTAATGAAGTACTGAAGTAAAGAGCTAGGACGAGGCCTCATAAAGCTTTAATTCAGCCTTGAACCAATTCAAAACATTCTGCTTGTTCTCTGTGATCCATTTTATGTTGCTGATGGTTCTCTCAATGGACTGATCCAATGCCAGCGTCCCAGAGCCGAAACCCACCTCAGAGTTATCTGCCTTGAACTGCTTTAGCTGAAACAATGAAAATAAACAGTGAGTGAGTGTGTTGTTTGGAGAGGTGAAAGCCATGGATAACAGCACAGGGTTCATCACAAATCGGGTGTTAGAAGTCCCTAATCCATCCTGCCATTAGTGTTTTTCGCGTAACACAAGCAATCTGTCCAAACACCTGGCCAAAAGGCATTATAATTAGATGGAGAAATGCTCAGTTTTCGACAACATGTAAAAGTATAGTTACATAATTGTGTCTTATTACTATTAGCAGAGAAAAGGTAATGTCTGTACAGCTAAATACAATTAATGCAACCAATCTAGTTGGGAACCGGATTCGCGGGACTCGAAGATATTTCCAATTACCTGACTGAAAAAGTTTGGGAACCACTGAGTTAAAACATTGCAACTGATAGGAAAATAAGGACATTACATTTAATCTATTCCCTTGCAAAGAAAAACCCCTCAAATCTCAAGCTCTATGCACATCATTTTGTTGAGCAGCTGACTGTGGCAAATAATCAAATTACGTTTCCAACACATTAATTTAGTTTACAATTTCTAGACGGTTTGTGTTTTAATTTTGTGAACGCAGCCCTGACAAGTTTGGACATTTAAACAATTGTCTACAATGTACACAAAATGTTCTAGAATATCTAACCTGTTGCAGCTCGTATTCAGTAGAGAAACGCTTGGTGACTCCATTGATCAGGTTAGAGAAGGAGAATGATCCACCTCCATACCTGTGAATGAAAACAAAGGCAAGACCTATCAGCTCCGTTTTGATGTAAATTGCATACAGTTGGTAGAACACATTTGCTACAGGTTCACATTTCTAAACTGTTCAGAGTTCAGTTTGCTCCTTTACAGTCTGTGATGAACCAGGTACACTGTGGGCTACTCCCAAGATAGACTTGGATTTAGTAGTTTTTATGTACTGAAGAGCACAAAATGAAACTTAAGTATTTCCAGTGAATAATAAAATGTTCATATTTCTACAGGTCAGACCAGTGGCGTAACAAGGTTGTGATTGGCCCCGGTGCAAATATTGTTTTGGGCCCCATCGCCCCAAACATAAGCGCACACTGATGCGCTCACACACACGCACGGGCATCAGTGGCGGCGCCAGAGATTTTCTTTTGGGGGTGCTGTGGGGTAGCTTGACGTTTCACAGAGGGTGCGCAAACATTTAGGGTTTTCCCTTAATCTACCGGGCGCTACAGTGGAATTTTCTACTGCAACACTCCCCACACGCACCGCATACATACACTTGTTACAATGAAGGCTCGATAATCAGCTCACGGCATATAGGTGTAAGCATAGGTAAAGTGCTATTTTTATAAGTGGGGGGTGGATCTAATATCCTCTAGGAGGGTCCAGAGGCATGCTCCCCCGGGACGATTTTTTTTTTTTCTTTATGGATATTTTACTAATCACTCCCCTTTTAAACTGTATTCTTGTTTTACTGTCACACAGTATTTCATACCTATTTTTCATTTATTCTCTTATTGTTGTATAACTATAATGATCATATGAAGGTGTGCCTCGGAAATAATTGTATACATAAATGGTGACCAAACCGTTTGAAACCCACTGAGATAACTTAGACTAAAGTTAACTAGATTCTAAACACTCAGCGAGTCCTTTAGCTCACCTGAGTCCCTCAGTCTGAGAGGAGAGGACATTCCCTTCACCTTGTTGTAGAAACAGCTCCTTATATCCGTTAGTGCAGCTAGCTAGACAGATGCTAACAACACGGTCTCTGGCACCGGTGCGCTGTCTCTCGCTCGCTTAATCACACTAAATGCGCGCCTGCCACACACACACACAGAGCCGAGCTTGAATGAAACACAGAGACCCAGAAGTACTTGTTCTGTGGCATATTATTTTCTCATCAATAATTTTTCAAATTATGAATTTCACACGTAAAAATAAAAAAGACATACATTTATTGGGGGTGCTTGGGGAGTGCTATGGCTATCCTAGGGGGAGCTTCAGCACCCCCTGGCACCGCCTATGACAGACATACACAACCACTCAGAAGCGCCACATGTAGGCTATCAACCACAGCCTGCCCTGGCCTCAAACCACCACAGCCTGACAACGGCACAGTGAACTAAGAAGAGGATTACACCTGTTTCCTTGATGTTTGTCTCTGGGGAATGGGCCGGTAGGCCTACATAGACCGGTTGCTATAATATAGCTTTTGATCTTGGCGTCGGGGGTCTCGATAGCGCCATAGATTCCCCTATCGGTTGGGGCCCTTGGGGGAACTGTTGGACCACCTGGCTGGCTGGAGAAGAAGGTTGCACAGCCACGGCCACGGATACAGCTTCACTTGTGGAGCTACATGGCAATGATGGTGGTGAGGCAGGTGAGCTATCGTTAGCCTCCGGCTGCCGCTGCACGTCAACATTGCTAACATTAGCGCTCGATTTTGAGGACGATGTATGACGTCAGTTTAGCCTTTATATCTCCTTGTTCTCTCTTGTCCTTTCTCTTTTGAGCGCTGCTCTTGTGCTTTGGTTTGCTGTACATTATAAATGCAAGCTATTACATTTGTTATAATGCTGCAGAACTTGCTGCTGCTAGCTACATTACAGTTCAGGTTGATTAAACGGTTCACTCGTCACGCAAGGTATCACATGACATGAAAGGGAGCAAGGTCATTGGACAGACAAATTACAAATTAATTTAGGTTGCTTGGTTACTTTGAAGACTGCGTGAATTGGGGCCCCAAAAATAAATAAATTAAAAAATATATATACTTTCTTTTTCTACATGGGCCCCTGGCCGGCTCTGGGCCCCAGTGCGCTGCACCGGCGATAGTTATAGCCTGAGAATAATAAAAAAAGACTAAATAAATGTATGTTTATGTTTTATTTACAGATGCTAGAAGACTGACTGTGAGGCTCTTTGAAACATCTGATAATGCATTTTCTACAACCAAAATTAATTGTTGGTTGCACATGTTCTTCTACCTAGAAAACATCGAATTATGAGCTTTGTTCAGTGAGACTCAGCTCAGCACCTGTGGGCTCTGAAGCCTGCCGGGTTTATGAGGACCAAAGGTCTTCTGAAGCAGTTTGAGTAACTCGGAAAAAGCTCAGACAATAAAATATGTCATGATAACAAACATGACCTAAAACTGCCTATCTGACTGTGCTTTAGTTTGACATGTGATAAAATCATAGGCCAGGAGAAGTTTTCCTAACACACCATGTATCTGCACTATTACAAACCTTTTTCACAGACTGGATTCGGTTTGAGAAACGGAGTTATAGAATAGCCTCACACCTCTTCTTATGATGCAGTGGTGTCAGCAGACTTGGGGAGTTACTGATTACATGTAACGAGATGTTGGGAACAATACGGATAAGATAAGATAAGATGAACCTTTATTAATCCCCGAGGGGAAATTCCGTTGTACAAAGCAGCAACAGGGTAAGTGTGAAAAAACAGGACAGCAAAGATTCACACAGATTAATAAAATCAAAAAGAAATCAAATCAAGAAAATAAATTAAAATGATAATAATAATAAAAGACTATGAAATAGGAGATGAGTAAAAATAAGAGTAAAATAACTGTCAGCATATATACATATTTGGTCATCTAAGTTATAAAGTACGGAATAAGTAATTATAATAATAATACTGTGTGCCACTATGTTGGAACCATGTATGAGCTTGCAGCTGCTCCTGTCGAGACTGGAGGAGCCAAGGCCTGATTCATGTGTTTACCCACAGAAAAGAAGACACTCACACTTGTCTTCTCACCCTCTGGGGGGCAAAGAGCAACATCCCAGTCTCATAAAGAGAAAACCTGCATGCGCAGGTTCAACTGCCGTCTATTTCCATCTGACGCAAAACCAACTATACTGGGACTATACTGGGACTATACTGGGACTATACAATCTTGATGTGATTTTCTTCTCCTTTGAGCAGCATACCTTACCTCATGTGTGGGAGTTGAACCATATTTCTGTATGTGATTTAACTCTGCTCCTTCTAGCAAGAATACATTAGAACCTGATTATTGATTCTTAAGCTGGTGTCGAGTGATATCTTTCTAACACGAGATGACGTTATCAGGATAAAAAACAAGGTAACTGTGTTTGATTACAATTATAAAAATAAAAAAAGTTATCTGATCACTGTTACATACTGCATATTACTAGCAGTATGACAGTTACAATACCTTTTGAAAAAAAGATGGATATATTATATTTAGACGTCCTGAAGGAATTTTCTTTATGGTTTATATAAATATATGTTTATATAAAGGCTGCTTTAATGATTCTTTATTTTAAATTAGGGCTGTCAAACGATTACATTTTTTTAATCAGATTAATCACAGCTTAAAAATTAATTAATCATGATTAATCACCATTCGAACTATGTCCAAAATATGCCATTTATTTATGTATATTGTTGTGGGAATGGAAAGATAAATGAAAGAAGGCGGATATATCCATTTAACATACAGTATCTATGTTTATTATAACATTTTTCTGCGTGTCAAAATGAAAGACAACCCACACACCTATCAATCATCAAACCGTGGGGTCTTAATTCATTACGTGTTGATTTCTATCAACGGGGGAGTACTTCAGGAAAGTCGACGGGGGGGGTGGCTAGTGGAGTACTTCGTGACCACAGAGTGTGAACGTTGTGATCAGCTGTTTTAGCGCAGTTCTCCAGTGAAGGGGGGGAGTCTCCCTCCGCAGCCGGTTGGCGTAGTTTTGGCACAATTCCGTTGTACAGACCGACGTTAACAGCAGCCCTGTCTGTGCACACGGAGACCGACTCTGTCGTCCGGTGATCTAACCGCCTTCTGGAAAAGCTTCACAAGTACGTCGGTACGCAAATGCGCTTTGTGACACAAGTGACGGTACGCATTTCAGAGAGATTACGCACATAACCTGCGTACCAGTTATGTGCACCCCTGTACTACAGCAAAAGTATTCTCCGTCGGGACTTCCTGCAACAACACCACGCCGTTATCAAAGATGTTCTATTGAGAAGACGATCACTACGTGACAAAAGTTTTCAAAACCGTGGCTACTGAAATCAATCTTACTAACTGCTGTCTGTGCAATTTACTCCGCGAGTTGGCAGACTTTATTTTGCTTCCTTTAACATCATTTTTCATGGTGGGGCTAAGCCATTTCTTGGTATGGGTGTAGCCTACCCCAGCCATAACCTGGCGCTGCCACTGGTGGCACGTATGGGGCGAGCCATTCTGCACATGCGTTAAATGCGTTAAATATTTTAACGCAATTAATTCAAAAAATTAATTACCGCCGTTAACGCGATAATTTTGACAGCACTATTTTAAATACATGTATTTTGTATGCAGTAGGTGGACTCCTGATTTGTTAAATAAAAACAGTCTATCCTTTTGATTCATGTATGAAGCTTAAACAGTATTTGTAAGCTATAACTGTTTCTGCATTTTTGATATGAAGTTTCTTGGTTTCTTCTTTTCTAAGGTTACATTGATACAAAGACTTCAGTAAAAACATCTTATTGTTATTTATTTTATTTCGTTTTTATTTGCATTGCATTTGATATTGAGGTAATCCAAAAGTAACTGAAAGTAATCAGATTTAATATTTGGATATTTTTGACACACAACTAGTTGTTGTAACGGATTACATTTTTAAAGTAACCCTGGGTGTCAGTAACTGAGAGTGTTGTGTTGTCCTCACTCATTGAAGATGTATGTCCATCGAGCTCGGACAAAGTCCCACGCCAGACTCTGACCCGCCACATTGCTGGCGATGTAGACAATGGTGGAGGTGGCATCCTGCTTTCTGATCAGTGTAGAATTCAGAGTGTACTCCAGGTATCTGAAAGGATACAAGCAGACCAATGAGAACACTGTGTAGGCTGACTTTCAGTTATCTGCAGGTGTATTCAGAGGTGGGAGAAGAACTCAGATATTGTACATGATCAAAAGTACCAGAGTGTTACAAGTAAAAGTCCTGCAATCAAAATGTTACAAAAGTATTCTCATCAAAATATAGTGAAAGACAGTAAAAGTAGTCATTGTGCAGATTGGTCCATTTCAGAATAATATATATGATATGTTTTATAATGATTGATCATGAAAGTGTTCTCAAAGCTGGTGAAGGTGCAGCTAGTTTGAATGACTTTGTATACTGCAGGGTAGCTTGTGGATTTACTCCAGGTGGAACTAAAGTCTGATTTAACACTTGATTAGATTTCATATAATTCATCCAGATCTGTGAAGTAACTAAAGGTATTAAATACATGTAGAGGAGTAGAAGTACACCATTTACCTCTAAATGTAGTGGAGTAGCAAAAAGTAGCATCAAATGGAAATACTCAAGTAAAGTACAAGTATCTCAAAATGGTACTTGAGTACAGCACTTAAGTAAATGTACGCAGTTAAACCCCCCCCCCCTATGGTTGTTATCCCAGTTACAGACCTGTTGAGCAGCCAGGGCTGCTTGCTGCAGGACAGAGCTGAGCGCAGTTTTTCAGCTTCACTAGCGATGGTGGCTTTCTGAAACTCTGACCAGGCAAACTCCCACTCTTTAGCGCCACCTGCTGCAATGGCGTTGCAGTACACAGTGGACCGCAGGTTGGGGTGGATCCTTAAGAAAGATAACATGTTTGAATTCAGTCCAATACCATAGATGAAAGACAGATGGTTGCACTTTAGGCACTTAGGAATAGAGAGAGTGGAAAGATAACAGGTTACACTTTATTTACTTACTGGTTTTTATTAGTGTCCATCCATTGTTTGAACCATGTCTTGGTCAGAGTTGAGCATTCCTCTAAGCCTGTTCTACAGGCCATGCTGATAGCATTCACCTGATTATACCTGGAGAAAGGATAGAAGGGAAGGTAATATACAGTATATACAGTATGCATGCGGACAAAGGAAGGAGGATGAACCAGGTGTAGCTCCCAGAGAGAACCAAATTAACCGTAGCTCTGGTGGTCTCTATTATTAGTGCTTTGTTCGATATGGATCCAAAACGGTTTTATCTTGGGAAGGATAACCAGAGAAGCATCTGTTTGCACCTAGACCAAGCCCAGCCGGGGTCTCTGCATCCAGGAGTTTCTGAGGGTCTCTGAGGGTATCTACGGCCCGGGGTCTCTGCAGCCCGGGGTCTCTGCATCCAGGAGTTTCTGAGGGTCTCTGCAGCCCGGGGTCTCTGAGGGTCTCTGAGGGTATCTACGGCCCGGGGTCTCTGCAGCCCGGGGTCTCTCCAGCCAGGGTCTCTTCATCCCAGGGTCTCTGCATCCAGGAGTTTCTGAGGGTCTCTGCAGCCCGGGGTCTCTGCAGCCCGGGGTCTCTCCAGCCAGTGTCTCTCCAGCCAGGGTCTCTGCATCCCAGGGTCTCTGAGGGTCTCTGCAGCCCGGGGTCTCTGCAGCCCAGGGTCTCTCCAGCCAGTGTCTCTGCATCCCATGGTCTCTGCAGCCAGGGGTCTCTGAGGGTCTCTGAGGGTCTCTACGGCCCAGGGTCTCTGCAGCCAGGGGTCTCTGAGGGTCTCTGAGGGTCTCTACAGCCCGGGGTCTCTGCAGGGTCTCTGAGGGTCTCTACGGCCCGGGGTCTCTGCAGGGTCTCTGAGGGTCTCTACGGCCCGGGGTCTCTGCAGGGTCTCTGAGGGTCTCTACGGCCAGGGGTCTCTGAGGGTCTCTGAGGGTCTCTACAGCCCGGGGTCTCTGCAGGGTCTCTGAGGGTCTCTACGGCCCGGGGTCTCTGCAGGGTCTCTGAGGGTCTCTGCAGCCCAGGGTCTCTGCGGCCCGGGGTCTCTGAGGGTCTCTGCAGCCAGGCTGAGGTTTCTCTTCTTCCACATGACAGTAACAACATCCTGCTGTTTCTCTGGTTTCTAGTCTTGAGTCTTACTTAAAGTAAAAAGTGAGCAGCCTCTGGTCGGAGATGACACGTGTTGTTGTTTTCCCTGTGCGCTTCAGCCGGCCAGTGGCGGTGTACTGCTCTAAGGGGTCCGACTAGAATGCTGAGTTATATTAGTTCCGCCTATAACGCCAGCCAATAAATATTATAAACTTTTCTTATGGAGGGGGGTCTCAGGTCAGCGTTACGGGGGCACTGGCCCCGGTTGCCCCCTAGAACTGCCTGTTTGGCATGGCTCTAATTCAGTTGACATAATTTGAGCCACATTGCCCATTAAAAAACAGAAATCCCCTTAAAATCCAGCAGGACCTGGACAGGGTCTTCTCTGCTGCACCCTGATGCCCCCCATCAGATAGTCCAGTACCCCATCATCTTTCAAACAAGCCCTCAAAACCAACCTCTTCACACTTGCTTTTCCCATAGAACTGTCTCTTCTTTGTGTGACTGTTTTTTGTTAAGTGTGACACTTGTAAAGTGTCTTATATAAAATACATGTATTATTATCATTTATTATTATTATTATTAGAGTGTTCACCTCTGTAGGAATAGTTTTGGATTGATTTTTTTATTCATGTTATCATTGACTATTGAAAGCTAACACTAGACAGTGGTAATGCTAGCAAGTTAAAGTTTACAGCTGAGCAGTGACTGGCCAAAGCACACCTCTCTGTGCACTGATTTTACAAATCTCACACAAAAAATACGTTACATAAAAATGTTTCTACAAAAATTTGAAAGGAAAACATATGGTTTCTCAAATGTAATATTTAGTTAAATTATGTCAAATTGCAGAATCAAAATCATTCTGATGAACGATTTAAAGGAGAAAATACTTTTTCAAAGTAAAGCAATTACTACTAGCACAATTTGCTTTTACAGAGTAAAAAGGTCCTGTCGATGATCTCAAGTGTGGACTGTACCATTAGGTAACCTGTGCCACACCTTAAAGTTCCCAAAAAGGGTCAAAAAGAATCTGCACATTCAGCTGCCTTGGTGACGTGAGTCCAAGATCTATTACTTTTAATATAGTTAAGGTATTATTCTGGTTTCATTTAAGTAATCAATAGTAATCTAACATTTGATTTAAACATGAATGTACACTCAATCCGGTTTCATTTTATATGTGAAGACAGGGAGAGGCATTAACCACAGTTAAGGTTAGGGATGGGTATCGTTAGGATTTTATCGATACCGATACTGCTTATCGATACCGGTATTTTTCAATACTCTTATCGATACTTTTCAATAATTTGGTGCTCAAAATTATAGACATGATTACAAAATGTGAAGATTAAACAACAGTCATTTTATTCTAATTTATTATTTAAATGTAACTTTTTCAATGTCATACCAAGCAGGTATGAGTGTGTTTGACTGTGTCTCTAGAAGGGTGGCGGTAATTAGGGGCAGTTCATAAATCCATGTAAACATGAACATTATTCAGTTAAAACGAGACGCTGCTTGCGCACCTCCTAAACCGGAAGCTCCGGTCGGCTAACCATTATAATCCGTTTATTATTTATAATTGTAATGATGGATTATCAGTAATCATTTTAGAGAGAGACATTGGATTAACCGTTTTTATGCCCTTGAATACAACTTTTGATCACAAAACAGCAAAGGCAAGACATAATTATCATCATGGCTACGTAAAGTGAAGTTGTTTTCTTGCTCTTTCCTGACTGCTAGTTCAGCGAGTTTTGGTCGTACAGGGATGAGACTTATACCAATGGAATCTGTGGAATCTCAGCTTTCATGTGATATGTTGATAACATTATGTAGAAAAGATCGCTTTTGCCAGTTATGTGCTAAAGTAGCCGTTAGCTCCGTTAGCCCGTTAGCCCGTTTTTCAAAGTTTTGATTTCAGACACTTGGTGTTGGACTTCTGTTCCGTGTAGGTAAAATGGTTATTATTGTCTGTTAGCTGAGTGTCTTCCCGTTAAGTGGGTATGCATCATTAATAGGTTGTTAAATGTTAAGAAGCCTTGAGATGCTGTTGCTAGCAAGATGTTGCGTCTGCCCCCGGGAGTCTCACAATAATAAGAGTGATGTTAGGAGAGATGACGAGTAGCATTCCCAGTGGCCAATCAGAGTGGTACTCAAACCGGATACGTCACACAGGATGAGGGTTCCCAACCAACCAGAATTGTTTAAACTAAGGAAGTAGCGTAATTCATACCGATCGCAGCAACGTTTGTCCAGCGGCTTAACGGTATACCAATACCGTCCAATCAGTACTGACTTAGTACCGGTTCTCGATACCCATCCCTAGTTAAGGTAGATAACTGGTAAATAAAGTGTAATACTGTTCTTCAATGTTTAACTCATATGTTGTTATTGGCTCCCATAAAAAATATGATCTTGGAAAAGCAAAAAGTGTGTGTACTCACTGGTCCATGTGTCCAGCAGGTATTGTGCTCCAGTTGCCAGTCATGTTCTTATAGTAAGTAAACAGAGGGATGATCTGTTTCATGAGGTAATTCTAAAATCAAGCAAAACACATTTAGGAAGATTCCATGAAGACCACAATCATGGAATTTATATTTGTTTCGTCTCTTTTAGTTAGTTTTGGCTCACCTGCATGGGCCCATAAACCTCGCTACGGTCAAACATGAGGTAGAAGAAGTCCAGGTTGTTCAGGGCCGACTTCCAGGGCACATAGTCCCTCTCCTCTGTCAGGTACTTGGTGGTTTCGAGGGCCAGTACTGTAGGGATTATCTTTGCTCTTTGGGGTTACGAGATAAAGGAAAAGTGTTTAAAAATATGACAAAATATTTCATAAAATGTACTGCAGGTAATGAGTCGGAATATGTTTGTCATGCTACTGTAATAGTCATATAATTGCAGAACGCTTTTTCCTGTTGTCCATCGGGTCAAATCTGACCCGTTCCAAAATGTTTTAAAATAAGGATAAAGGTTTATTTTATGTTTCTGCCAGAAAAATTACATATTTGTTTGTATACACGTTTTTCCATGAGAAAACAATCTTGATCACTTTCATTAGGTTTTGGGTTTAGTATAGCATCTGTGGTCTTCTGGGTTTCATTTGGTAAAATGATCCAACCTTTCTTCCCTTTTAACAGAAATGTGGTTTGATTTGTGTAAATGAGGTCTATTGACTATACATTTCAAACAGAAGAGTAAAACTTGTGGCAATACGTAGGAATAAAGTTTCTCTCTAAGGTGTAACACAGGTTTGGATGATTCTTTATAAATGGTCAAACTGGAGGACAGACATTGATAGGAAGACGACACAAGGGTTAAACACTCTTGATGGATCTTATAATATCTGGACAATCTTTAAAAGTATTGTGGCTTCACTTCATTGTTTTCCACATTTCAGTAATCCAGATGAACCTGTTGTCATATGACACAGTATTAGCAGGACTTACCTGGCCAGGTTGAAGGCATCATCCACCAACTGAGCTCTGTTGATCCCTGGAATACTCTTTTAAGAAAAAGAGCAACAACCGTGTCACTATACCACAACCACTCAGATCAAACAGCCTCATCATCAGGATTAGAGGAGCAGAGATCCATTACTCCAAGTTGCTCAAACATACAATGTGATTGTCCCTCAGAGCAATGAGGAGGCGGTCCCAGTTGCCTTGGTCATAGTTGACTCTGTAGTAGCCCAGCACATTGAGGTTGGCCAGCACCCAATCTGATGGCTCTGATGTTTTCATTTCATTTACTGTGTCTACAGAAGAAGACAAACGTCAGAGTTTTTCATTATAGTTATACACAAGACAATAATTCCTCAATATGTTCTTATAACTTTGTCAATGTTTGTGTTTTCTGCAAACTCGGTCAATGAAGCTTGCAGTGTCTGATGTTGGAGCTTTCTAACAAAAGATGCAATACTTTGAAGGTCAATCTATGCTTTCTGAGGCAGAACCATGCAACGATGAAGCCATCTCACCAGAAGTATGGCAATTATTGTTTGGTCAAATGCCTAAAATATACAATATCTGCCTTGTCCTGAACTAGTGTGACCACCACCCCATACATTCAGATCTAAGAGGGAAATAGAGAGGGACTCAAATGAGGGTTTTTTGACGGAATACGGAATTTATTTGAATATCAACTCAATTGGCCTGCCTCACTTCAGTGACTTGAGTCTGGAGGGGGAGCAAAAAAAAACATATATAAACATTGTGACCAGTCAACGCTCAAATGAAATACAGAACTGAATCCCAGCATGTCTTAATATTTGTCCTTGTTTGATGTTGCAAATGGAGCTGCTCTGATGCATGAAAAATGTCAGACTTGATATGACAAAGTATTATTGCTTAATACGTTAAGCTCATAAATGACCAATAGTCTTCTAGCTTCTGTGTGCGTTGTTATTCTTGTTAGGGTGCAGTGTTTTTAACCTCCTATGATTGGTCTGGTGTTTCATTTAATGTTTCTATTAAATTTGTTATCTCCTCGAACTGTCAGTATAAGAACTAATTTCATTGGTCAGAAAATAATCTCCATGTTATTGTGTGTATTTGTGCATTCCTACCTGATTTGGCCTTCAGCCATTGGATGGTTGGATGGATGACTCCAGTCTTCATCCACTTGATTGGAACAATCCATTCATAGCTGTAGGATAAAAACAACTTTAACATTCCATTCCATCACATGTCACTTGTTAGACGCTTTTATCCAAAGCGACTTACATACTCAGTACTGTGGACAATCCCCACGGGAGCACTTTGGAGTGAAGTGTCACATGGACACAACGACATGCTGACTGCAGTGGGGTTTGAACCTGTGCTCCCTTGATCCGAACACCAACACTCTATCCACTGCGCCACACGCCTCCCTACACACAATTTATTCTTTGTTGCTTTCTTTGATTGCCTGCCATGACCTGCCATGAAATGTATAGATTAATGAGTTATTTAGTTGCTTTTTATTAAAATACTGGAATTTGAAGTAATATGAAAGCAGTGGCATAAGGTAGAAGTATTTTAAGCAGGAATTAATATATAATTAAATAAATATCAATGACGTTTAGATGGGTTGTTAGTGATAAGCAGGGTTTGGGCAAAATCAAATATCAGTGTGTATTTGATTTTGGACAGATAATTTAGTAATTTGAGTAGAAAATACAAATTGCCTATTTCTATTTATTTATTTAGTGGGAATGCTGACACAGCATTCCCACTATCTGTTATGCTACGCACAAACTTATTTATTATTTTGCGCTGCTTCTCCTCCTGCATTGAACATCGCAGAAACTCCGTTGAAACATCAAAACGTTTAGCTCGGTCGGGAATCGATGGCTATTACTTTTCTCATTCGAATAGCTGCAGGACACCAGACCCAGGTGCCCTGAGTTACTGTAATCAATGCAATCACTGGAGCCAATGCAGCACAGACAGAACAGCCACACCCTCTCTACTGATGGACCCACAGGGGCATCACAGCCCCCCCCTTAAGACGGGGCCCCAAAGGGGTCCACGACAACCCAATATCCTTCTTCTTAACTCCAGCTTTTTTACTTTCCTTCTTAGGGCTGGAGGACGCTCCTCCTCCGCCGCTGTCTTCAAACTCTTGCCTTGCGATTTCGTACTGCTTCTTCGCCTCCACTGCCTTTATGTCCAGGGGTGCACATCACTTTTTTGCCCTGGTTCTCAAAGGAGCACCTGGAGATGTTGCTTGGTGCTCATCCTTAAAATGAAATAAACCATAACTTTTGAGGGGGTCTTGACTTTATTTGCCAGACACACGGCACTGAACACACATGCAGAGGTGAACACAGAACACACATGCAGAGGTGAACACAGAACACACATGCAGAGGTGAACACAGAACACACATGCAGAGGTGAACACAGAACACACATGCAGAGGTGAACACAGAACACACATGCAGAGGTGAACACACATGCAGAGGTGAACACACATGCAGAGGTGAACACTGAACACACATGCAGAGGTGAACACAAGACAACATTAGCACGACCAGTAATCCTACAAGCTGTCATCACTACCCTCCTGACTGTTCTCCTCACTGTCTTCCTCTCTGTCAGACATGGTAGCTGATGATGTAGGACTACTACTTTCTCTCTGGTTGAGTCTGCGATTAGCTGCTTGCATCCACAAGTCAACAGCTGGGTTTGGGTCGAAAGTCTCTGTTGTCATCTTAGACAAGTGGATGTAATCAAATAAGTATGTGAACATAACCAATAAACTACCATAGCCAATAACAAATGAATGTAACTTATTTTATTTGTGTTGTTCATTCATATCTTATTTTACCTTAACATTTATTTATTTATGCATTTTTTTGTATCTCTCCAGTTTTAAAGGATATTTGTGGTTACTGTCCTATAGTATACATTGGAATGATTTCAAACCTGTTTATCCCAATAATTATAAAGGAGTGCCTTGGAAATATGTGTTTACATAAATTGTGACCAAACCATTTGAACTTAGACTAAGAGTCCTTACCTCACTGAGCTGTAGTTAACTTATCAGCCTCTCAGTCTGACTGGAGAGGACTCTCCCTCCACATTATTGTAGAAACATCTTCTTCTTATATCCGTTAGAGCAGCTAGCACGGCACCAGATTCTAATAACAACAGCGCCGGTACCGGTGCACCCTCCCTCTCTCCCTCGCTCACTCGCATTTTGGCTGTGAGCTGCGGGCGCCAGATAAGCCAACATCCCCCATTTTCATCACTTACAGCGCCTATCGTACAGGGCAAATGAAACGTGTAACCGGGGTGAAAAGGGTGTTACATTTACTTAATTATGAATATTGTTACATCAAGGCCGAAAATTAGGATGAGCCCCAACGGTCAAAATGTTTTTTTCCCTCCCAGAACTGCCAGCGCAGCGCCTCCACAGATCTGGCGCCCTAGGCGAACATCTAGCCAGTGCTACGGGCCGGCCCTGAGTTCATATCATGGTTCATATGCAACTCGCAAATATCTCTCTCTCTCTCATCTCTCCTCTATTTTCTCTGTTCTCTTTTCTCTTCTCCCTTCTCTCTCTCCCTCTCTCAATGTTGGTACGCAAATGCGCTTTGTTTCAAATGACCCGGTGCTCTTTTTTTGGCGGAGGTGCGCATGCGCACCTGCGCACCAGTTATGTGCAGCCCTGTATATGTCCCACTCCTCCTTGGGTTGGCTGGCGTTGAGCCACAGCATGTAGGCGCTCATCGGCCTCGCCGACCTCCTTCGGCCTCCTCTCCTTCGGCCTCCTCTCCTTCGGCCTCCTCTCCTTCGGCCTCCTCTCCTTCGGCCTCCTCTCCTTCGGCCTCCTCTCCTTCGCTTTGTGGGGTTTCATCTCTTTCTTCTTTGTCTCGATCTCAAAGTCAAAGGACCGTGCTGGACCACTTTTTCCAGACTCCGAAACAGGTAGGTCAGTAGACATCCTACGGCTCTGCACACGCGTAATAGTATAAACGGGAGACACACTTGGAAATTGCAAAGCGCTCTCATCTGGCTCTACAGATGTCAACGGCCTGGAAACCACCACAGGTGGTGGCACACCCGCCCACACAGCACTACCAGCAAGATCGTTGCCCAAAATCATCTGTACCCCATCAAGTGGCAACGCGGGACGCACGCCGATAGACAACTCCCCGTACCAGCTCACAATCCAGCACTACTGTATGACGGCGCACAGGAATCAAGCCCATCTCCATGCCCCTCATCAGCACAAAATCCCCCGTCTCAGTCTCTGTCGAAAAAGGCAACACTGACTCAACAATAAATGAGTATCTAGCTGCTGTGTCACGCAACACCTTAATCGGAACATACTTGTCACTACCGACTACTGATACAACAGCTTCAGTGATGAACGGCTCAAAACCAGAACCCGCATCCGGGTCGGCACAAACCGGCTTCTTATCAGGCACCATGCCCGAGCCTACACCCAACGGTTTTTTATCCAACACGGCAGAACAACACATGGCTGGAGCATGTGGTGACAAACGAGGCTTCCCCTTAGTTTCCAGCAACGGACACTGCTCCTTCCAATGACCCCCTCCTCTGCAATAATGACATAGGTCCACTTTGGCCCCCTCGGGTCGCCCTGTACCTACAAATCTATGGGAGGAGCCTGGTGAAAACGTTGCACCACCGCGGGCATAGCCATTGTCTTCTCCACGTTTCCAATCACCCCTAGAATACTTCTCAGTAAAACTGCCCTTATGTGTCAACACAAAATCGTCTGCTAATTCAGCAGCTCTAAACGCGGTGGAAGGTTTCTGTTCATTCACATAAGTGGCCACACGGTGAGGGAGAATGTCTTTAAATTGTTCCAAGACAATGAGCTCACAAAGACCGTCAAAACTTGCAACCTTTGCTGCCGCGCACCACCGCTGAAAATGAGAAGTTAAATCACAGATAAACTCCACATGCGTCTGCTTATCTCCCTTGACCCAACTTCTGAACCTTTGACGATACGCTTCAGGAACCAGTTCGTAAGACTTCAACACCGCTGATTTTACTCTATCATAGTCCAAAGCATTTTCGCCACAAACAGCTGAATAGGCTTCCTGTGCTTGCCCAGTGAGTACACACTGAAGTAACAGCACTCTGTCCGAATCTGACCAGTTTCTTGCCTCTGCTATGCGTTCAAATAGAGTGAACATTTTTTCCGGATCACGCTCATTGAACTTTGGCACTAATCGCAAGTAATAAATGATATCGCCACTGCCTGATGCCGACCTATCACCACCATCCTCCCCTGGAGAAAACTTGCCCTCTCCCATCAGCCGTAATCTAGCATGTTCCACCTCACATTTCACCTTTTCCACCTCCAGCACCTTCTCCACCTCTAAACGCTTCTCTACCTCCTGCTGCTGACCCCTCATCTCCAACTGCAACTTCTCCTGCTCCAACCTAAACTCCAACTTCTCCTGCTCCAACCTAAACTCCAACTTCTCCTGCTCCAACTTAAACTCCAACTGCAACTTCTCCTGCTCCAACTTAAACTCCAACTGCAACTTCTCCTGCTCCAACTTAAACTCCAACTGCAACTTCTCCTGCTCCAACTTAAACTCCAACTGCAACTTCTCCTGCTCCAACTTAAACTCCAACTTCTCCTGCTCCAACTTCAACTTCTCCTGCTCCAACTTCAACTTCTCCTGCTCCAACCTCAACCTCTCCTGATCAAACTGCATGGCCAAAAGCTCCTTTTGCTGCTCGAACGTCAAACCAGCCGTCTGAACCACTACCGGCCCGAACCCTGCCGCACCAGACTCACTCTTCTGCAACACCCCCTGCTCAAACAAAGATGACAGTTTTAATGTCATGTTTCCGCTTTCTCCCTACAACAGCAATGTCATAGTGCTCTGCTATTTCGACCAACTGCGCCTTCTGGCAATCATCTAAGAAAGACACTGAGGGCGCATCCACAAACGCTGACAAAGAACTCATAATAGCCAATCAGAAAGCAAAGTATTAAACTGCCAACACGCATGGGCATAAGATTAACCCAACAGAGAATTTCCCCCTAACTGCCTAAACAAAATCTTCCTAATCTCACCTAGTCTTCATGTGGCTTGCAGCGGGTAATTACGCACTGGAACCCGGCAGAGTTATGGAGCGACCTGCACGCAGGTAACACCAAGAACTCACGCGG